ACAATTGCACACAGCGATAATACAATGATGTACCCATAGACCATAAAATGATGAATGCAACGATTATACAATGATGTACCCAGAGACCATACAATGATGCACGCAGTGATTATACAATGATGTACCCAGAGACCATACAATGATGCACCAGTGATATACAATGATGTACCCAGATGACCATACAATGATGCATGCAGTGATTATACAATGATGTACCCAGAGACCATACAATGATACTCGCAGTGATTATACAAAGATGTACCCAGGGACCATACAATGATGCACACATTGATTATACAATGATGCACCCAAGGACCATACAATGATGCTGGAAGTCATTATACAATGATGTACCCAGAGACCATACAATGATGCATGCAGTGATTATACAATGATGTACCCAGAGACCATACAATGATGCTCGCAGTGATTATACAAAGATGTACCCAGGGACCATATAATGATGCACACATTGATTATACAATGATGCACTCAGGGACCATACAATGATGCTGGAAGTCATTATACAATGATGTACCCAGCGACCATACAATGATGCACGCAGTTATTATACAATGGTGTACCCAGAGACCATACAATGATGCACACAGTGATTATACAATAATGTACCCAGAGACCATACAATGATGCACGTAGTGATTATACAATGATGTATCCAGAGACCATACAATGGTGCACACAGTGATTATACAATGGTGTACCCAGAGACCATACAATGATGCACACAGTGATTATACAATGATGTACCAAGGGACCATACAATGATGCACACAGTGATTATACAAAGATGAACCCAGAGACCATGCAATGGTGCACACAGTGATTATACAATGATGTACCTAGGGACCATACAATGATGCACACAGTGATTATACAATGATGCACACAGGGACCAAACAATGATGCATGCAGTGATTATACAATGATGTATCCAGAGACCATACAATGATGCACACAGTGATTATACAATGATGTACCCAGGGACCAAACGATGATGCACGCAGAGATTATACAATGATGTATCCAGAGACCATACAATGATGCACGCAGTGATTATACAATGATGTACCCAGGGACCAAAAAATGATGCACGCAGAGATTATACAATGATGTACCCAGGGACCAAACAATGATGCTCGCAGAGATTATACTATGATGTACCCACAGACTATATAATGATGCACACAGTGATTATACAATGATGCACCCAGAGACCACACAATGATGCACACAGTGATTATACAATGATGCACGCAGTGATTATACAATGATGTACCCATAGACCATACAATGATGCACGCAGTGATTATACAATGATGCACGCAGTGCGGATTATACAATGATGTACCTAGAGACAACACAATGATGCACGCAGTGATTATACAATAAATCACGCAGTGATTATACAATGATGCACGCAGTGATTATACAATGATGTACCCAGAGACAACACAATGATGCACGCAGTGGTTTTTACAATGATGCACGCAGTGATTATACAATGATGCACGCAGTGATTATACAATGATTTACCCAGAGACCATACAATGATGCGCACAGTGATTATACAATGATATATCCAAAGACCATACAATGATGCACGCTGTGATTATACAATGACGTACCCAAAGACCATACAATGATGCATGCAGTGATTATACAATGATGTACACATGAACCATAAAATGATGTACCTAAAATGTACCAAGAACCATATATTGATGCACCCAGAGACCATATTGATGCACTCAGGGACCATATTGATGCACTCAGGAACCATATTGATGCACCCAGGGACCATATTGATGCACCCAGGGAACATATTGATGCACCCAGGGACCATATTGATGCACCCAGGGACCATACAATAATGCATCCAGGGACACAAGTTATTCTCATCTTTTTCAAATAATGCATTGCAGGTGATGCCATATTTGTATTTCAAACTGGGTTGTTTACATAAATGTTATAATAACTACGTTTTAGATGAGTTAGGTTTGACGAAAAACTAAGCGGTTTTGACCAACCCGTCTACACTGACTGTCCTACTGATCGATCTTACCCAATGTTGCAACAAACATTTGGTTAATTCAGCCTCATTTGTTGGATATACGTACTGCGCTAATACTGTTGACTATGAACTTTAATAAAAACTAGAAATAAACCACTAATTTAAACTTTTGTTAGTGTTTGGTACGTGACGTAATTGTTACAGAATACCACATTATTTGCCGAACTTCTAGTTACACAGTGCGTATTTTCAAAGCTATTTTTATATCAACTATGCCAAGTGTAGTTTGTATTCTTTCTACAATTGATAAATGTTTATATATCAACTTTGTTCAAATCAATATGTCAACATAGCGTGTGCCATTAGGTCAATAAACAACTGCCGACCTTATCTGTCATGCGTGCCCTCCAATATCTTTTTCACTGGATTAACGTTGAGGGCGTTGTATTTAGTGTTTATATCATATCGCTTAATTAACTAATTGCGGATAATATTAATTGACTGAAAAGCAGGAAAATAGTTCGTAGTTGTAAATCCCTATAGTGTTCACACAAATATTATGTGTATTTTTTGTATTATTGTCAGACATATAAAACTGGCGAATACAAAAAAAAACGTATTGTTTCCGAACATCAATACACCAAATACTAGTACACTACTTTCCGAGTCAAGTGTTTTTATACTCTAAAATACATCCTAGATCATAGAGTATTATCCTTTGAGAGTATTACAAAAACGTGGTATAAAAAAGTAGTTGGGATACATATTGTTCTTTGTTCATAAAATTCGTGTTTTATTAGGAAAAAAAATGCACATAAGATACGACAAATCTCGAGAATGGCATTTGTCCCAGAGTTATTTTTATGGACAAAACTTAATATTAAAAAAAATCATAATTACCTATGGAAATCAAAGTAAATAACACAGTTAGAACGGCAGTATATCTCGTCATGGTGGGTATTCCAGGATTATGTAGCTGAGAAATGGAATGCATTCGATACAATCACATCTACGACATGTTCCACCTCCTTGATCGTGAGCTGAGTAACTGGCACTAACGTACACGAAAAACGAAGAAGACCTCTCATATTTATGCTAATTACTATTATTTATAATAAATGTGATTCATTGCTGTAACATGCTCTGAAGGACTGCATCTTCACAGAATCTCTAATAAAGTCAAATCGGCAGTTGATGGATTCGGGGGGCGGACGATGTCTAGTGCAGGCGTTGTCAGAATTGCCCCAGTTACTCCCTCTAACCCCGATGAACGGATAATAGTAACGTTTATTTATCTAATACTTATTTATATAAGTGTTGATTTTGTTAGTGCCATTTGAGCATAGCAACCAACTAGATAAACTATTCTTGTATAAAATCTATATAACATTAAATCTAGATTATTCAATATCTAAAAACAAGAACATAACTCAGATTAAGATTGGTCATGTTCGCTTAGTAATCACCCCCCCCCCAAGTTTCCGTTGCTAATCTTGACTTGGTAAAATGACAACTATTATTCAAGAGAACCACATATTATTTGCCAGATTCTGCATTTTAGAAATTTGCTACCAGTTTTCAACTGAAAACAGGACTTTGGTCAATACATATTTACAAAACGAGTGTGTATATTCTTCCTAGTCAAATGTTGTTCTTCCTCGTCGTTGGACAGTTATAAAATTACATTATTTTAATATGACAACCAACGCTATCTTCACTTTGATTCTACCAACAGACATTGTGGAAATATTATCATCTTAAGAACCAGGACACGCCCTCAACGACGAACTTTGCAATCAAATGATATAATTCTTACTCGCAGTGAGGATACGAAAAATCAAGGGTATTTTACAAAGGTATGGAATAATTCAGACTGAGTTAAATTGTTGAAGGGATCTGCAAGGGTAACACACACACTCTCTCGCTGTTATATTTAATCTTATTTGATAATTCACCATGATGAAAACAATATGGTAATTGTAATTTATTGTGGATCCTACTTGTGTTTGGAATCACTAATGTTGGTCATAGTAAACCAGGAAAATATTACAGTGGTACTATGATACGTCGGCTGTGGCTTCACTCTGCTGAACGTCTGTGATATACTTGACAAGAAAGCCAACTTTATTCGAAGTCATTACGTTTCAAATGTATTCATTTCACCGATGCGTGTTGTCAAAGCAACGAAGATCAACATATACGCGTAGGGCAAGTTGTTTTGCAGCTTGAGGTAATGGAATCTAAACAAATAAATAAACATATGATAAAAGTAACGTCCTGTTGTACTGGTCGTTACGCGTGTTCTGTTTTTTTCTCCTCTACACACGACAACATAGAACATATTCGTAGGCATTTGTAGTCTTTGGTAATTACGCAACATAATTAGACGTTTCGACCTTGGTGCCGTTTTTTAAAAGGCGAATTGAAATAGAATGCCAGAACGTTGAAAACAGAACACTACAGAATGTCATTAATAACCAAAAAAAATATTTTTTATCTCGCTTATATTATTTACTTTGTCAGACGCCATAGGACCAAACACAGTTCAAAAGGTTTGTCCCAGATACGCCCCTTAGCCCACATAATAATAGTAATATTTATGTATTCAATACCTCATAGGTATTGATTTTTACGTCCACCTTTGTCTGGCACATCGAATAATGTCACACGAGTTTTTATAAGTAATCCCTGCATACTATATCAATAAACTTATTGAATATGTCACAGAACTATGTGCAAATACGATGCATAAGCAAGAATTAATCGTCATAGTAACATTAATAATGACAATAGGAATAGCAGATTTCCCTTGTTTAGATTTGAATTTATAATTTGTCATTGAACGACATTTAAACAGCTTCATACTGTTCTCCGTCTTTATGAAATGTCTACTCTGTCCAACTACTAGTAGTTGTACGTGTAGTGAACGGTGTTGTCCTGACAAACTCAATGTATGTTCATTGTTGGGTGCAATGAAAACAAACATTATAGTAAAGATTTGATTTCATTATTGGCGTGTGTTATTCATGGCACTCTATTAAAAAATATGCAATTCCAAGGCGATACATATGCTGGTACAAATGCAAAACAGAATATGAATCTGATTTGTAAGAATTTAAATTAAAAAAAACTGATCACTTTAACACGTAGCCCAACATGGTCGCTTACAAAGTGTGTGAACTAAATTTTGTTTTGTTATGTAAAATACTGTTTTGGGACATTCATACAATTTATGTTTATTATTCTATACGAGACCTGGGGATTAATAAAGTTCATGTATCATTATTGAGGAACAAGAAATTAATTAAAATTAGAATTTAGAGTCACTAATGGCTGGGTCAAACGATACAGTCTTTTATCGGCCAGAATTGTTTCCACCTACACGTAAGGCGATATTCAAAACATTTCAATTTTAGTGTATACTTTTTTTTTACAGTTTAGCCCGTCAACTCTCTGGCAGATGTGAATAAATCCTCTTTGAGCGGTTTTTATTATAATTTTCACCTTTAATCATTTCTGTCAATTCCATTGGAAATGATTCCACAAGTCTGTATATTCTGATTACGTCTGTGCATATGATTGGCAAATATATGTAAATTGCTCCAGCAACAGGCTTGTATGACAAACATTTGGTATATTGACCATTTTGCCTCTGAAAGGCTACATACATTACACGGTAATCGAGCAACGAGTTACGTGTCTGTTTACGGGGGCAAGTCACGAGTTCGAATAACTTGTTGCGTGTTTATATGCTAATGATATTCCTGTAAATTATGCTTTTAGGCATGTCGACAAATTGGCAAACGTGCTAGTGCCGCCTGCATTTTAAGATTCATTGAATGTTCAATAAAAATGAATAAAGATCAATATTGTGCATAGAATCAGTTATTTTTCTCATTGGTGTGCAATGTGCGCGTCATCAAATACAATACTGATTTAAACATCTTTTTGGAAATAATTGCTCGTGTCTACTGACATCAAGCTATGAGAAAATACATTGGGATTATATAAAAATACAACTACTGTAGCTTGTTGTCTAAGACGTTATCATAAACTGCATTTACATGGACGTTGTCAAGCTTAACTTGATTAAGGTTGTCTTTTGAGTAATCATTCGTTGAGTAGGTGTGTCTATCACGCCGGCGACCACGATGCAGCAGAGCAACATAGACCAATATTGCCAACAACAATAGAGAATTTATACAACAGATAACAATAACAACTGTCACACCATCATTCCAGTCACAAGCTGAAAGAAATATATCAGAAAATCTAAAAATGAAGTAAACCAAATAATACGTAATTTTTAAAAAGTGATTTCTAGTTTTCAAAATTAGTAAAATATATGTATGAAAGCACTTACTACAAATATCACCAGTATCATCTATATGTTGTACTATGAAGAGATAAACATACAATATAACATTATTAGACACTCTTGTACAAATACGCTTTGTGTAACAGCGCACCCAAAACACCATTCTTTCTCAAAGACCATCGCCGCGTTGATTTAGCCATCACTGCTCGTATGCCATTCATTCGGCCATAAAATGTAGTATACCTAGACACCGAAAGCTGCCGTGTAATGCATACAGGCACTGAATAGTTTATGGTGAACTTATATATATATATATATAGGGATGTCATTGAATAGACTCCCTTACCGGTATGTTACACTCCACGTGTTCTTTCTTGTACGCCACCACTGAGTTATTGTGGTGGCATTTCGCCATAAGTGTAATTTGTAATGTTTAATTAAACGTCTATCATGGTTATTGAACACACTCCAGATATATGAATAACTAACTTTCCAGATCTATAAATAACTCACTTACAATAAACCATACAAATTGTTGATATTTGTGTATAATTCATACAATGTGATTACATACATGATCTTCGTAATATTCAAGTTCCTTATTGTCACGGGTAATGACTACGTGATCAAGACACACATGTGTTCGCTCATCATAATGTCAGTTCAATTAAGAGTTAAATGAATAGGTTAAATTAATATTTTCTCATAAATTGTACAATTAGCTACGGGCTACAATGCTTACATGCAATACATAAGCCAGTATGGCCTATGTCCATTTATTTATGCATTGGAACTGGATGAATGAATGGTTCCAAGGAGAATGCCGTTTCAGGTTCGAAAATTACAAGCAATTCCGACTGATTGCTGTGATCACCATGATAAATTATAAGATGATTTGCCCTTGAAAAAACACATAACATGTTAGCAAGGTTAGAATATGAGGTTATCACTCAAGGCATTTACATGTGTGAATAATTTAGAAGAAACTTCCAAATAGTATTTCAGAATTATGTAGAATCGCACTGGGCATCCAATGCACACGTAATTTAGTCGATTGTTGTTAATTTGGTTCGGGACGTTTTATAAGAATCTAAACTGTACATACCAGTTGTTTGGAGTCTGGAGATAGTTGTTGGTTCCAGTGAAGATGACATGTCAGGTTCTGAAAAAATGCATATATAAGCTATTTTGATTTTAATGGTACAGACAGCATCCAGAACGAGCATTGCTTCAATTGCTGAATATTTATTTTACAAATTTCCACTCAAGTATTTTTTTTACTTTTATTTAAATACATTGGAATACAACTTTTTATTAGAATAACTTTATTTTGAAGTTTTGAAACAACAGTACGGCAACCATTCAAATGGCTTCACCAATTGCATTGCATCTTTCACACTCTTACAACACGTACACGGCGATTGCAAGTTAAAGATTAAAGTAATAAAATCAATAACTTCACGCAATTATCTATGCAAATTAAACTTACCCAGATCGTATTGGCATATATAACCATCCGTCCATTTGATGTCAACACAATTTTTATCGTTCCATGTACCATCATTCCGCATTTCAACGCAGTCTTGGCCATTACCTTGCTCATTAGGCTCACCGTCTTGCCAATTACTAGAGAATATTTAATGATCTGTTTTGTTTAGTTTTAATAAATTAAAAAAAGCTGATCTAAATTGTTTATTTAGTGTAACTTACCTAAACCCGGTACTGTCCAAAGACCTTCCATCCACCCAGTAAAATTGCCCCTCTTCATCTAAATCGTGCAACCCAATCCAATGTCTAATATTTACCAGTGGAGTTAAGAAATTCTATGAGAAAAACAAATATCATGTGATGATAACTAACAAAAATAGTCATATGACGTAAAACATATTCGTTGTACGTATTGTATTATACACGAAACTTTTTTACACAATTTACTGTGCTGGCTTAGACTTGCAGACACAAAAGTAATCTTTAAGCATGTGTCACAGATAAACAATTCTACCAGACCAACTCCTGCACCGCTTTCTAATATTTGTCATTCTTACTTGAACTTCCTCGTTTTCAATAATTGCCAGTATGCTATTTCTGTCATCACACTCATCTTTAGCTAGATACCATGTCATATTTGCTTCTACTGAACCAATATAATAACACTTGTCATTATATTTATGCCAATTGTCGTCACAGCTATACGCTAAAACAGAACATAACATTTCACTTATTCATTCGACGTAGTAAACAGTATTTAATGTGCAGGTTTGAGGTCTGTATGTTTTACTGTCAGGCACGTAGCTGTTCAAACTATACTGAGGCGGCGAAAAGATCTGCTCACCAACCGAAAGCGCGACCTTAGTAAGGGGTCCGGGGCGTGTTCCCCCTAAACAATTTTGAAATATAGACTCCCTGAAACGCTTTTTCCTGCAATTGTGAGGGGAAAATTTTGATGATACAAAGGGCTTCAGCTTAACTTTGAAGGGGCGACGCCCCCAACATATTTTTCACCGCCACTGCTATAGTAAATTTGTTTCATGATATATGAAATATAAACTCACCGGAGTCTGTCACGTAAGACACAATTACAAAGCTAAGTGTCCCCCTGTAGCAGACTGCTTTTTTCACTGACGTAAATATAATTGTATCAAGTTTAATCCAGTATATTGTTTACTTTTGATATTATTTCGCAAAGATTTTAAACATATTTTTGTCCAACTTATTTGTTTTGTTCATGCGATGTGGGCTCGTAACAGATCATGATGTGACAAATTTATTTCAATTGCAAGGTCAACGCTACTCGCGGCATAGACTGGTATATTCGGATGCAGTGCTCCAACACCGACGAAGTCAGTAGAGCTGTCTTACATTGAAAATGTAATTTATGAGTAGTTGCCGCAGTCAAAGTACAAACAGTAAATACTTGTATAGACTCATGATAAAACATACAAACATACATTCAAAAGTTAATATTAAAAACAAGATATTTACATACCTAGCAACAAATAAGACGAGAGGAGCATAATGCCGAAATAAAGTCTCAGAATTATAGTCATTTTCAACGTTATCTCAATCCAACACTTAGGCGTTATACATTTCAATGTCAACCTAGTTTATGCACTCATGTCAAAGTTATGAATATTTAAATTTTCACGCGGGGTGTCCACCAATCCTCGCCGATGAATGTTTTTATCATACGTCAGTATACGGAGTAGCGTGCGTGTCACATATTCCCCTCGAAGAGACATGTCAACTTTTGGAACAATGCCTTACGACACCATGGTTACCAAAAGTGAACGTTAAGGCAACGAGTTTCTTATGGTGTATGCACACCATGTACTTATTGCACTATGTGTAATATAACCATGAAACAGTGTTCTATGGAAAATCTCTACTTTAACGTTAAATATTACAGATTCACATTTTGTTTTGTTTTAGTATCATATATTATCATCGTTTGTGCATATTTAATAAAAGTAATTGTCAGTAGTGATAGCAGTAACTTGTTGTGATGTATTTCATATCTTAAACTTTGACAAATCACTGCAAACCTGGGTACACTAATAAACATTTTAATCTCGACATTTCACAGTATGAATCTAAGACTAAGCTAATCTAAGCTTGGTCTTATGATGAGTTTCGTAAATACACAATGTTACTGGTAATTGTTGTTCGATTAATGATTGTTTCAAATTATTTGCAATATGTGAGCCAATGATACGCCGTGTCTTGTAAATGCAACAAATAAAACTTATACTAATCAACAATTTTTTGTTTATACTTTCGATAAGATTGGAGCGGTTCTCATCATGTTAACAAAGAGATGCATTTTGATATTTCAACTTCTGTTGACACCAATTATCTATTGATCTAAAAATGTTTTACCTAATTGAATGATTTTTTCCACTAGAATCGATGTGGTGTGATTATCATTATTTCATTGTCAGAGGTCAACAAGTGCTGAAATCGATGCGTAGCAAAGGGTAGAGTACATATGAATTGAAAGAAAACGATTCATAATCTTAAACTTGGTGATGACTACAGTCATTTCGCAAGATATGAGTTCTCTGAATATAATTTGCACAAAATAGCAAATCCCGGATTTCTGTGTGTCGCACCTCTTGTTTCTTCCCTCTGCTGTCGGTGTAGGGCCAGCTAGCTCTGAGGCCCAAATGAATTTTTATCTTCAGGGGCTATTCGTGGTGTCACGAGTCGGTGTTCTGGAATGCCTTGACGGATTGTAATGGCGACACAAAACAGATACAGAACAGCGCAGGAAACAATAGGCTGACAACATAATCTCCGTTGCGAATCAGATAAAGATTTAATAAATCAGGCAATATATCGAACACATTATGCAAAGTTTCATACACAATAGTACACAAACGTTGTATAAAAGGAATGCACAACAAAAATCAGCTCATATCTAACTACAATGCAGCAGTCAATAACACCTATGTTGGTGACGTCATCTACACTTCACAAATAAATGTACAGTATAACAACTACCCCAGCTCAATGTCACAATGATTGTACCCCGATAAACCTGTATTGTAATCATTGTGCTTGCACTGCTATGGGTACGCAGCACGGGTGATAATATTTAACAATACAATTTGAAATACACGGTAAAGATGCACAACAATTACACAAACCTGCTAATGTAGGATTACGAAAGCATTAATAAGGTACATACAGGTTGTCCATGTACAATCTGGTACTAGAAATACAACACTAGATCTGTAGGCAAAGTACACATGGGCTGGCTATGTTTCCACAAATCAGTTACGGTCAAGAAACGATGTTCCACAGAGGGTCACAAAACACAATACCTCAACAAGAACTTCCAATCTTTAAATATATACACACTGTCAGAATAAAAGGCAAAATAGATACAATGAACTCAATACTTCATGCATGCTATTGCAAACTGCCAAGTTAATGGTATTGTTGACATAGGCACTAAGAAATTACTGACATTCTACAAGTTAATGAATATATATAATCCTTATTTTACTGCCGTGATGCGTGAGTGTTCGATAATACCAAACATAGTACGGTGATTCAATTTGAAACAGTGAACGGATTTATTATACTTTCTACACCGAAGAGATCGTGGTAAAAAAACAGAAAAGACCTTGACCTCAATAACTGCCCTTGACTCGTTTTGGCAACATATCTGAAGATTTGATTGAATTGCACATATGTTTTTTTTCTACGGAAAATTAAATATCCTGATTCAAATCTCAAACGACCATATTATTGAGAAGGTTATACCACCGTCGTATGGACAGTACAAATTTGCGAATCACCGAATTCAAGAAACTTTGAAATGTTTTTATGTATTGCCTAGATCAACCCAAATATATATACAGAGGCCATAGTTCTTACAATAACTGACCTGTTGAAAGTCAGAAGTAAATTCCTATGGGAAACTACTACTTTTTGCGATGTTTACAGGTTCTTTACCACTTTGAACACCACATTTTCAAAGTTTCATTCTGCACAAAGACTGCATATTTTTATTCAAGTACATCATCGAACGTTCGAATTCGAATATACATATATTTGTACCAACTACAATAATTATTGTAATGTTCACATATGTATGAACCAAATAGGGCAATCTTGTATTAGGTTGAATATTATATTGCATAGTATAGTATATAATCATCTATTTTGTTAACAAACTTAACATACATGTTAAAAGTAAAACATAAACTTTTTAAATTCTAGCAAACGTGTACTACGCAACCGAACTCGAAATTGCAGCATTGCCTGTTTCCGGTGCCGGACTTGTTGATTCGGGTGGATAATCGTTATCGAGTTTACTTGTATCATCTTCAGTTTTATGCAATCCCCAATGACTGGGTTTTGAGTTATTGTCAATAATGTGTAGATACGTCAGGACAAGGTATACAAGTAAAAGTAACAGAGCCCAGCATATCAGAACTCCAATAATGATGCCGACGATGTCTCCTCCACTTAAACCTGTAATAGAAGATACGTTTAGTAAAATATATCCATGTAAAGTTGAAATAAAAATTAAGGTTAAGAATATACAAAATGTTCTGATTATTGCAATTCAAGTTTAAACATCATACTCAAGCTCGCAATTGGTATTTTCGTGAACATAAACGTACGCGTTTTGGGCTATAATAATAACTTTGTCGAACAGATAGGTTGAAAATGCCACACTCGTGTGTTTCTACACTTCCCCGACCAGAAGTGAAAATACAACAATCATAATTTTAATACATGAAAAATGTCACTTACTATCTTGATTGTTGTCTGGTAGTTGATCTACAAAAAAATAATACTAAATATGAAAACGAGCTTTCAACACACTAATTAATACTAGGTACAAACGTATATCATATATGACTTGTATATTTATTAATCTACTCTACTTGTCGACAAAACGAAATTTACACTTAGTTTCACGTTAAAATCTGTTTTCTGGCACAAACAAATATTATAACAATGATAAAATATTGGCAAGAGTTACAACAAGTGTTTTCTGTTCTCACTTTTCTGACACATGACACCGACGGTCCACGCAATTTGGTCACAACGCTTATCATTCCATTTGCCGTCTTTTTGAATCTCAGCGCAGTCATTAGTATTATCGTCCTCCATATTAGGGTCACCTTCCTTCCAGTTCCTGTTACACGAAATTATTAGAAAATGTAACGTGAATGTTAACAACAGGATGAAGGATATGATTCGATTTCAATATGACGATGATGTATAATTATTTTTGCATATTTGCAATAGTTGTATGTACATATTTATCGAATTTTAAACTAATATCAAATATTATCGTTATCGTTTGTTTCAGGTCCCCATGTTTTTGGAGAATACAATATTAGGGAAAACCTAAACTTGCTTGCAGTCTGTTGCGATTCCGATGGAAAATTCTTGAAAAATAAATATACATTGCGTAAACGTGGGGGTGAACGCGAAAGTCATATGACCGCGAAATCCCAACAGACTTGCCATCAGTGTAAGCGCCCTCACATTACCGGCCAGATTCGGGCTTGTAAATTTGCATATATGTCATACGGTAGCCGAGCCACGGTTCATAACAATAAACCGGACTTCGCACGTGTCTGTGTTTACTTGTCTCGCGCTATGTTACCATGTTGTTGGCGCCAGCAAAATTGAGTAAAACAACCATCATTTCTCCGAGAACGTAAGAAATTATGTGCGGTC